TATATATATATATATATATATTTTATTGGTCAAAATTTATTAAAAAATATATAATTTGATGAGACTCATATTTTATTTAATAACAATAAAATTTATGTAAAATTTTTTATATGTGATTGATATTATTTATTGACCAAAATTAAAATTTACTTAAATAATATGCATAAATGTATATTAATAAGATCTATATTAAATATAAATATATTTAATTTTAATTAAAAATATCAATTATATACAAAAAATTATATTTAAATTTTGTTCTTTTAATAAATTCTAACTAATAAAAATTGAGTATACTAAAAAAAATGTTTTGTAGTAGTAGAAAGTTTGTTGCTAGTAGTGTCCACACTTAAAAAATATATATTTATTAATACTAATGCTGAGAATGACGTTTAATGTGAAGATAATAAAGTGATTAGAGTGTTGTTTTAACATAATAATGTTTGTTGAGAAATAATTTGGCATCCGTGAAGAGTTAGAGTCCAAGAAGGTGGCGCCACGTTGATGATGTCAGAAATTGTATGACAATGACGTGACAAGATGAAGATAGGGCTCTCATCGCATCAAACAAAAGCTACGGCAGAAATCGCTCACCCCGCATTTCACTTTTCTTTTTCACATTCCCCATCTAATTTTCAATTTTTAATCATTCTAACGACTCCCATTCCCATATTCAATTCACCATGGATGGATTAAATCATTCTTTTTTTTCAATAATTATTTATTTTATTAATATTTTAGATTTTGTGATTAAAACGAGTGATATTTTAAGTGTGATTTATTTAGTTCTTCAACATAACAATTTGTTCTAATTAATATAACATGTCGTGGTCATGGCTAATTTCATACTCCAAATCCTACCCATACTTTAGTTTTCAGCCAAATGACAAATACATAAGTTAATGGAAGGTGCTTGTAATCAATTTCCTATGCTACATCACTGCCATATCAGTTCTGACCCACTTTATGGGTTGCTTAAATTTTAACAAAACAATTTTGCTAAAATTTAAGTAATAGCAAAATTCTTTTACAAACAACTTTGCTAAAATTTAAGTAACCCATAAAATAGGCTACATCTGTCACAGTGATATGACACAGAAAATTATTTATAAACAACCCAAATGTTCTTTCAAGGAATCAGTTTTGGAGTGTCCGTGCAAATGGAAAACTCACATTATTCAAGGCAATGTCTCTGTTTCTGATAACATCATCAAGTTATAGTTATACCAATCAAACCGCGTTGACTATGCCAAATTAAAATCGATGAGCACGCATATATTATTATATACTACTGTCCTTGCGTGTTGCAACAATGTCATTAGTTATATATACTTGTCAACTATGACACATTTGAGATTGCAGAAGATTTTGTGAAGATGAAGTCCACGTTGGCAAATCTATCAAGCTCTATGTTCTTCCTTGTGTTCCTCATAGCTTTTGTGTCTCGTAATCACGGAACCAAAATCAACCACAGAAGCAGCAAGCATGTTGCCCTCTTCATTTTTGGCGATTCTTTCTTAGATGCTGGCAATAACAATTACATCAATACTACAGCTCTTGACCAAGCAAATTTCTGGCCCTATGGGGAAACATACTTCAACTTCCCAACAGGAAGATTCTCTGATGGAAGGTTGATATCAGATTTCATAGGTAAGATTCGGAGATCTTATGATTCTTGTCTTGTCGATACTAGTAGAATCCAATTTGGTTGAACCAACACATTATTTTGTCCCGCATTAACATAATTAACTTCATATATATGTATACCAATGTAAATCAATTAGTACAAAATCTTTCAGCTTAACAGCAATATCAAGTTTGAATTTTGAATATGCAAATGTGTTAAATACTTGAAAATTGAGTTTTGTTGTTCACTGTGGTCATACTTGACACTAAGAGAATTGTCTCTGTTGGAAGATACCTTTATTGTATACCAAAACTTGACAAAATATGTATATATCAAACCTTATCTTCTCATTTAGCTGTCTAATTTTGACAACCTCTGCCTTTTGTAGCTGAATACGCAAACCTGCCATTGGTTCCACCATATCTACAACCTGGCATTAACCAATACTATGGTGGAGTGAATTTTGCATCTGGTGGAGCAGGTGCTCTTGTTGAAACTTTTGAAGGGTCGGTAAGTCTAAGTCCATTTCATAACTTTCATTAGTTTCACACTTTCTCTATTTGCTTTCGTAGGTGGAACTATTAAGTATGACTCTAGGGTGAAAAAGTTGCTCATACAGTAATACTATATACTAATTGGTAATTAACATGTCAAGCATCTAGGTTGCATAGCTAGCAAATCGCGATCAGACCTGGGAGAGCACTATGATTATCTTAATTGAGTAACCAATGCTTTATTTTAGTTGATTGGATGAACCTATTTTTTTGTGTCCACAATACAAGCTTCTCCAAGTGCATGTCTTGGTCAAATGTCATACATCAAGCAATTAAAACAGTAATTCAAACAGCCACTACTAGAACATGATCGTTTTTACCTTTTTTTACTTTGGAAGACACAAGTTTGCCGACCCATGAGTCATGATCCTAAATGACATTAGCACAAACCCTGTCCTGTCATTATTTCATATAAGATCAGAATCTTCTTTTATATAAAATATATATATAACGATTCCCTAAAATAAACTGTGGTGATTTTGTCAAAAAGTTATATTTCTTTTTAAGATAAATATGTTTTATTAAAAGTGAGTGCGTTTTATTTTTTCCTTCTATTTTGTTATCTTGAGATTTTATTGAAATGAAATAGGCAAGGGGAGAACAGTAACGTCGAGAACCATTAGATATTTGGTCTAACAGTGAAGAGTTGAAATACATATATGAGAATTTAGGTTCGATTTTCATTGTAGTCTTTGTACACTAAAAAGATTAGTACCCTTAAACATGACGCTTTATCTACCAAACTTTCAGGTAATACCCTTCAAAACACAAGCAAGAAACTTCAAGAAAGTAACGGCTTGGTTGAGGCACAAGTTAGGGAGTTCTGAAGCAAAATTATTGTTATCAAAGGCTGTCTATATGTTCAGCATCGGAACCAACGATTACCTTAGCCCGTTCTTGACAGATTCTCTTGTTCTTAACTCTTACTCTCATTCAGAATATGTTGGTATGGTTGTTGGAAACTTCACTTCCATTATCAAGGTACAAATTTTCCATTATTTACATGTCTGTTTAAATTTATAAAGCATGTATAGAATTATTATACATAATTAATAACATTTTGTGATTTTAAAATATTTTTTAATCATATTTTAAATTTTATTTGAATTAAAAATCCCTGGTACTTGTTAGTGTGCTATGAGTAAGTTTCACAAAATTAACTGATAAACTAGTTAATAGTTGAAAGCTGAAAATTAAAAACTAAAATTATGAACTTACAAACTCAAATGCTATATATTACATGAAATAGTATTTCATAATATATGCTACATGATATAGTAAAATAAATTATTATATCAAAAAATACTTTATTATGGTTAAACAAACTTTTAAATTAGTCAAATAAATAAAATAACTTTTTATCTTATCAAACACACTTTATATGCAATTTAGCCAAAGTAATAGACAGCGTGACAAGTACCGCTGTTGAGTGTTGACTGTAATCTCTGAAAGTTTTGGAAAAACCATGAAAATATTGTAGTCATAATTATATGACCATAAAGGAGACTTATAGTAAATATATAATTAATTTTGCTTATGGTTACTTCAAAGTCTGTTAGTTTTCAAGGATGAATACAAGTTGAAGTTCTGACCGTTATCTCTTATTTATTTTCTTAGGTTGTTTCCTTCCTATGAAATGGATGTTGTATTCCCCTTGAAACAAGGCCAAATCAAATTTTAACATGAAATCATTTCAACAAAATAATCTATAATTAAACTACTATAATTTTAGATGAAATTTATTTATGAAATTTGTTGATTGATACAAAATTTACTTATCAAATTTTCATAATTAATTTTGCTTAACATTTTGTTTTCAATCCTAAATAATAAGGTACAAACATTATATTTACCTAGTGAAAGAAAAGAAAGAAAAGGTATAACTGTGGGATGATGGAGTGGAATAGAGAAAAGAGAATATTGTGTTACAATTAATAGAAAAATGAAGGTATAAATGAGACTTTTTCTATAGAAAAGTGAGACTTTTTTCTTTGGTAATAGAAGTGAGACTATTTAAATACTAATAATATTTTATTAATTAAATACTTTTACTATTTTCTAAAAATATTTTATTAACTGAAAACATGTTTTAAAAGTATAAATTTTTTGAGAGCTTTAAGTGCTTTACTCATGGTAATCTAACCCGTTCTGTGGGTACCTGCTTGAATCTGTCCTGATTTGGATGAGAAAAACTTGTGTTTATTAGGTACGGGTTTGGGTTCGGGTTCGAGTTCGAGTTTTCCTCAATTAATAAAATCCGTGTCTCTTTCCTTATCCATAACATAACCAACTTCCCTACAATTTAACCTGTCGGTGTTCCCCAGCGATTTAAACACGAGACAGAAAAGTACAGAAAAATAAAAAGGATTATGTATTATTGGGCGAAAAGTGTAACACTCAATAATCATATTCACGTGAAAAGAAATATTTTTTTGCTGCCTAGCTACTCTACAATATCAGGCAAACAATTTTTTTTAGGTGCAGGTTTAGATGGAAGTTCAAGTCTAAGTAGCAATTTTGTAATGCATTTTTCAATATACAAATATGTTATTTACTATTATATTAGATCATCTCTGACGAAAATTTATGAAATTCTTAAACTAAAGAACATGCTCTTACTTATGCAGTTTTATTAGCAATTGATGTGAGAGTTGTTATATTAAACTTAAATAAAAAAAACGATTATTAACAATTCGTAAGATTTGATAGACAATTATAAGACACATTTTTAAGTTTTAGAATTATAATTATGGGATAAAATTTGTTGAAATTCTTGAATATTACTAAATGGTTTTATACCATTGTAGGTCTACAAAAAGTGAATGGTTACATATAGGAAATGTTAAAAATGGTTCGATTCGATAGGTTAACTTAATGGCTTAACAGTTCTAACTTCAAAAATAGTAAGAAATAATAATCGAGTCACTTGGTCGAGTCTGACAGACAATTGAGCTAAGCCTGGTTAATAATTTTCAAACCTGAAACCTATAATACTTATTTAGCCCAATCTTACTTTTTAAGATTAAAAATAAATAAAAATTAAGCCTGACTAAATTAGCCAACAAGTTAGACTAGACCATGAAATATAGAAAGAAATTTGATTCATTAATCCAATCTAATTAATTTGAGAACTCTAAAATATAACATTGTGTCAATACATCAAATGTTAGTAGAATGTATTTTGCTCTTAGCGTCCACCTTAAAAAATTCATACTACTATAGTGTTTGTTGTTTTTCTTCTTTTGTTTTCTTTTTCTTAATAATGGTGTGTAGATACAGTTCAGAATGTTTTGATGAACAAACGACATGCATAGTTATAATTTATATTGATGTTTGTAGGAAATATACAAGAGAGGGGCTAGAAAATTTGTGTTCATGACCTTGCCACCCTTGGGTTGTCTTCCAGGCACTAAAATAATCCAATCAAAGGGAAATGGTAAATGCTTACAAGAACTTTCAGACCTTGCAAATTTACACAATCGAGTTCTATCTGTGGTTCTCTTACAACTGGAGAAACGATTGAAGGACTTTAAATTTGCTCTATACGATTTCAACACTGATCTCACTCAGATGATAAATCATCCCTTGAAATATGGTGAGTCTATCATGTCGGATATGATTAAGTTGATTTTTGCCACTTTTGATTCTTAGCTAGTATTTTTATTTTTTATTTTCTATTGAGCAGAGTTATCAGTCATTATATTTGTGATTTAGCACATTAATAATTGAAAATTGTGATTATTATTTTGATGTAGGGTTGAAGGAGGGAAAAATAGCATGTTGTGGAAGTGGACCATTGAGAGGAGTGTATAGCTGCGGAGGAAAAAGAGGGGAGAAGCATTTTGAATTATGTGACAAACCCAATGAATATTTGTTTTGGGACTCTTATCATCTTACAGAAAGTGCTTACAAAATATTAGCAGATCGAATGTGGGGCTATACCAACAACTCTTACAATATAGGGCCTTACACTATTAAAGATCTCTTCCAACTCCCATGATTTGTTTCTTGGTTCATTGTTTTTGCTTTCTTACAACAAAGATAAAATCTTAATCATTATATCTTGATTACGCTAATAAAGTGTGTGTATAACTTTGGTCCAATAATACTTTTTGTTTTTTACCTAATTGTAGTGTTTTGTTTTCAAGTTTGAAATACTCAATTAATTCAATCCAACAAAATATAAGTTTTTCCGTTCAAGTATCTTGAAAGTTGTGCTAACTACAAATCAAACACACATTTGATACTACATTATAATTATAAAGCTCGTGTAATTTAATGAATTGAAATTTGAATAACAAGGAAGGGAAATACGTTTATCTTGTGGTGATGGAATCTTCTTCCTAAGTTTTACTTCAAGGAAGAGGATTTGCTTTAAAGGAATATTAAACAGTAAACAGGTTAAAACACGTTAAGACAGACATGAATGTATATAGAAGGATATCACAAATACGGGAAAAAAAAATGGAAGTCAAAATTTTGGAAGGATTCTCTTGAAATGTTTGCACCTTCATATAAGGAATTATTGATGAAACCTATCAATGGTAGCATGGATGATTTGAGTTGTTTAACAATAAAATATATTTTTATATATTATATGTGATTACTTTATATATATATATA